GGCATCACTGGACCAAAAACACAATAGGAAGCTAAGATGTTATTTCTGATGCTTGGTCAACAGAGCCATCTATCCCCATGTTTCATAATGGAAGCTAAGTGGGCCCGAAGTTCCATAGATCACTGAATTGAACACGTTCTATTTTGAGTTTGTGGTGGAAATAAGCCAGTAGGGTGCTGTCCCCAGGCACACCAAAAAGATCAGCCAGCAAGTGGCAGGCAGTAAGCACTGAATTCACACCTTTGTTTACCTTCCCAGCTTATCCTGGATGTAGCCAACAGCACCTCTGAATGGCTAGGGTACCTGGGGGTTCAAAGCTCAAAACGAGAAGTCACAATACCATGTCAGGACCAGTGAACTTCATCACCCTCAGACTCCCTGCTTCCCAAGAAGATCGTAGTCACACAGGCTCATCTGTGGCAGGGCAGGACTAGCAGAGACAGAGGACAGATCCACACGGCGATCTTCCTCGTCCGTTTCTCCCACAGGAACAACATTTATTGAAGACCCAATCTCCCAGTGTGGGCAGCGAGCGGATGAAAAGGAATGGAAGTTGCAAGAACGAGGTCAAATTTAATCTCAGACCCATGCTCCAAAGAATTGAATTTATTTTCACCATCTAAATAGATCTTAACATTGTAGGAAAAACATTTTAAATTATATTCATTGTCCTTTTAATACTTCAATATTTATATCTTGAGTAATATTCAGGCTTCGCAGACGTGCGCTAGCCAAAAATAAATAAATAAATAAATAAACTGGGTTTGTGGCTATGTCATAACTGACAACTAAAGAATGTCAGGTTTTCTATTTTTATATGGAATTGGCCAAAATAATTTTGGAGCTCAAATAGCTACAGTGGTAAATAATGTTCTAGGAGACATTTCCCTAGTGGTCAGCAGTGAGGGAAAGGCTGTTAGGAGAATACAAGCAGTGGTTTGTTTTTATTTATTCTTTCAGTCAAATTTTTCCCAAAGAAGTTGCAGTTTCCATCTTCAAAAGGAGCATTGTCAACACCAGAGACAGAATAGAAAGGAGGACATACAAAAAAAGGGTTGCCCCATCAAAATAACAATAAACACACTCCACTTATGGAGTTCAATAAGTCTCATGCGTTCCCTTGTTCTATTACAAACTCCATGAGTTTAAATAAAACACACTTGGTAAAAAACTGTTATTGAAATACAAAGTCGAAGTATAATAATTTGCTTAAATTATGAGCCTAATTGATTTTTTTAATGTACCATTCACTTGTTCCTTGACCCTAAAAGATTTTTATTCTAGGCCTCCTGTACATTATAAATTCATTGTGACCAAACTAGTTCCTAGAAGTATTGCATCATGAGAGGTACAGAGATGGAAATTAAAAGCAAAACTGAGAAGTGAACTGTGTCTTAGGAAAATTAACAACACAAGTGCAACCATTATGTAAAAATCACTGTTCGGCTAGAAATATTTGACTATGTATTATAAAAGTATTTTGGAAAACGTGGATAGAATTCTGCATTGAAGCACAGCAACCACCTTAAACTGCAAAGCAGAAATGTTTAGAATATGAAAGATGGCACAGAATGAATGAAGCTATGCCCTTGGGCAGGTATCAAGATATGAGAGAAGTAGAATGTTTCTATCGCTCAGATTGCTAACTAAATTACAGATTTGCCTATGGATAAATCAGAGTTCATACATTTACCTGGTATATTCTCTTCCTTTAGGGACAAGAAACTTTTAGGATAGAAGCTTATACTTCTGAACTTAATTAAATGCCATATTATGCACATTAAGGAACATTACACACTGACCTAAAAATAGTGAGTTTATTAGTAAGTTTGGGGATCCCAAATTTGGTAAGGATTAGAAAGAGTCCCATAAAGTAAAGGGGGATGATTTTTTTAAAAAATAAAAATTGGGGAAGAACCAGCAGAATAAATTCAGACTTAAATCAGAAATTAAAAATCTGTATTTTTCCCACTTGCATATTTTATACCCTGGAAAGCTCCAAACAGAAAATTAGAGTAACCATTCTACTCAAAAAAAACGTCAAAGGTATTAGATGAATGGAAAAATATCCAAACACTAATCTCTCTCTCTCTCTCTTTTTTTTTTTTTTTTTTTTTGAGACAGGGTCTCACTATGTTGCCCAGGCTGGTCTGGAACTCCTCTCCAGCCACAGAGATCCTCCCACCTCAGCCTCCTGAGTAGCTGGGACCACAAGCACAAGCCGCCATGCCTTGCTACTGCCTTCTTTTGAAGAAAACTGTTGTACGATACTGTTTTGAGTCTTTTCATTCACTAAGTATAAGACTGAATGTTTACTGACTTTACAATTACGTTAAGAACACCGGACTTAATCTCAAAGATGCTGGGCTATCGTCCTAGCTATGGACAATTTTTAGTTTTATAATTTTGATCAAGGTACCAGAAACTCACTGAAATCTCAGATTATCAAAATAAAACAAGTATGGTGCCTCTGGGTTCTCAACATAGAATGATTCAACAATAGATAACAATCTTTCTGGAAGACATGGAATAAAACTTAGGTGGTAAACGTCACAAAATGTGATAGTGAAATAGAAGGAGAATCAAGAAATGGGCCGGGTTTGAAAGAAAAACAACATAGTGAAAAAACCAACAGCCTCCTGTGTTCTCATTATAAATCGAGATATTTAAAATGAGATATGAAATTTCAAAGAGTTTTATCTCCAGGTGAGTATTTTTAAACTATTATAATATACTACATACTCATGGATGAATGAGACAGGATTTAAATATTTTTTGTTATTTAATAAATAAGGGTAAATTCAGTATTAATTTTTATTTATTTATCTAGTATGCTGCGTATCTCCTATGCAAAACATCTTAAGTGAAACCATTAAAATCCACTTTGATGCCTCAAATAAATATAAGAGTTTTTTTAAAAAATCGTTTTTTACATTATATTCATCTACAACCATCAGTATCTGGATTGACACAGAAAATATAAAAAGTAATTAAATGCAAAATCTTTATGTTAAAAAAAAGAAAGCAGAAAGAAAAAAAAAAGGAACCTCTTTCTAATGAGGTTTAATCGAATAACTGAAGTCTACCTCTCCTGTTCCTGCTTCATTCGTATCCTCTCCTCTTCTGATGTCAGGGCTTCCTGTATTTTTATTTTACCCGTTTTCTCAATCTTGTCATCTTTTCGATGTTTGCCAAACCTGTAGACAACAAAAAATTCTAACTTGTCAATATATACACAATGAGTTTTCTTTCGCTTGTGGTAATAGTGACATGTTGTCAATGAAATGCATGCGAGCGTCTTTAAAACAATGGCCAAAGGTCTCCTGTGGTCAGTAATTTGGGTCGGGATTAATATTTTTAATCAGATTATTTTATTCACTTTTACTTAGAACTTTCCAGAGAAAACTCTTTTGGAAAATGGCCTCAATACCCAAGTTCATTTCAGCAAAACAAAAATAAAAAGAGACAACGTGACTTGCAGTTTTTCCTTATTAAACAAGCAACACCTTGGTAGGACCAAGTGCTGAGTACACTTAAGACGCCAGAGGAAGAGAGATCTGCATTAGAGCAGCTTTTTCTTAGGACTCAAGAATCATAATCCACAATCATCTATTTAATAATCTTTCCATTAACAACTATTGCTCTTTATTTTCACAGTCAGACTTATTGGAAACATTCATCATAGTTTAAAACCTGACAAACAAGGCCATGGTTTCAAGGTTTAAAGCACAAAGGATCATTTACACTGCCACAATACTTTGTGCTTTTTAAATTGAGCGGTTTAAGGCATTCACATCAAATATACTCTCCTAAATCCGATGAAAAGCAATTACCAAATGTGGCATCTTTGACTTGACAATCTATATCTGAGCAAAAACAAACATAAGGACCAGATGCATGATTCCAAAACAGCCCACACAAACTTCTACAGATGGGTGCTGAACTCAAGCCTCTTTAAGAAACACTAACATTCTTCTATTCTGGCATCTAAAATATCTCCGAAACCTCAAACTTGGTATCAATACTTTTCCCTGCTCTGTTATTTTTCTCTATAAAAGGGCATGTTGCCTGGAATACATGTCCTCTATATCCTCAAGGAAGATTCATCTGGAGTGATTTGGTCACCAGATGTTTCCAAAAAAAAAATCTTTTATAGATAGTTTTACAACTAAGCATTCATAAATATATAAAGTGTATTTCTTTCTGAGAAGGAACCAGAAATCTGGCATATGGTGACAATTTCATATCAAAAAAGAGAAAAGGAAAAGGGTGGCCCCAAAGTTGACATAAAAGACAAAAAAATCATTTCAATAAATTGGTCCAGTTGGCAGTACAGGTCATTTTTTTTATTACTACAAATCCAATTTCAAATACTTGTCTACACATGAATTAAAGTGTATGTGAGACTACCTCATATATTAATTAAAGTAACACTATGTTTGCAAAGGGGTTTATAAATAAGGGAAAGCATTCTTAAAAGTTAAAACAGAAAAAAATTAAAATACCACCACCATGATTCCTTTAAGAATTATGTATACTGCTAGATAGCAATCGAAACTGGCTGTAAATTAACTCTAAAGCAAATCTGCTAAAATTTAACATCATTTGGAAATTGGGAGATCACTGCAATTGCACAAAAGAAAAAAGAAAGAAAGATGGAAGTAAAACTCAACAGAAATCATGTGGGTAGGAGGGGGAGGAGGGGTTGGGTGAAATCATAGCTCGTGGGTACAATGTATTAAATATCTGGGCGATGGGCACACTTATAACTTTGACTCAAGCAGTACAAAAGCAACCCATGTAACCAAAACATTTGTACCCCATAATATTCTGAAATAAAAAAAAATAAAGGAAAGAAACCATTGATGAAATGTCCATGGGTTAGTCTTTGGACAGTTTTTTTAATACTTGCTTTAGTTAATAAAGTATGTGATTTCTTTAAGGCCTACCATAAAATCACAGCATATTACTTTATAACTGAGGCAAAAATGGATCCCTCATAGTTGCAATTGTTTGACAGAATGAAATAAAGACAGTAAGTGAAAAAATATACCAACCATTCTAGAGTGTAAAAAAGAAAAAAGTCTATGCCCATATCCATCCTGTTCGCTAATATATTCTAGTGTACTTCTTAACTTACAGCTGCTTAATTCTTCCTGAAAAGATTGGGAGAGGGGATCCCATTGAAAAATTTCAGCTATCCATATAATCTCAAAGTCAGGTTCACAATTGAAATTAGTAATCAACTTATGAAGACAATCATTTAATAGACAGATGTTTAAAAACTTGGAAGATACCCATTATTTTTACATTATCTTTTAAAAGCCATGAATGAATATCAGATGGGTCACTTTCCAAGAAACACCATAGCTGAAGAAATACTGTGCTAATGGTCTGTCCAGGAAGCATGTCCATTCTCAGCATAGAATCAGAGTTTTGCAAACCGTTCCCCCCTCCCCCCCCCGATTCGCTCACACAGCATTCAAAGAGAAAACGCCACCACCCAACAGGTGTGAGGTTGAAAGTTAAGTGTCCACCTACCCTGGCACTTCAGGAAGAATTTGCTAGTCACATCTCTGGACATATTAGCATAGGAAAATAATCTTTTTTTTTTTTTTAAATAGAGGAATAAAAGGAGAATAGCTTAAAAAAAATAGTGAAGCAAAAAAATTGCTTTAGACGTGCTGCATTGGGAGAGAACTTGCACGAAAAAGATGCCAACACTACTGAAGTTGGCATTCACAGAAAGATACAGTGTTGAGCCCTGTCTTATTCAGAGTAGGATTGATTGTAACATTTCTGAAACATATGGTTTTCTTCATAAAGGATACAGCAATGTTTTCATTCAGCTAAAGTAATCTCAAAGTAATCTGCTAAATGGGTTTTACTATGACGCGTTACAGATGAGATCATTGCCGTCTGCCAGATTGGCAGTATGTATCATTACAGTCAAGACGGATGGGCAAAACGTGCACTAATTGACAAATGGAGAAAGCAAAACGCATGAGAAATAAAACAACAACAAAGGATTGCAACAAATTCTCTTGTTTCCATATAGAAGTAACTGTCATTAAAAATTAACTACTGTTAAGAGTTTCCTTGCTATTAAAACCATCAGTTAGGGTTTTTAGCAATGTAATTCTTGCTGCAGTACAAATACTGCTGAACTATTTTGCCATTTAAAATGTAATATTTCTAGTGCTACTCAAATTAAAGGGCTTCAGAAAAAAATTATGCTGAATAACACATAGCATCCTGCTATAAATAAAATAAAAATATAATTGGTTCTCTAATGAAAGGGTTTTTCCTAATACCGTATTTTACAACATGATACAGTAAAAAGTCTTAAAAAATCTGCTGCCATATTTAAAAATAGATGAACAGAATATTCAGAACCAATTATCTTGTAAGCTTGGAGGAATATTCTTTAAAATAAGATTTTCTTCAAAAAAACACACCCCATTAAAATGTCACCTAGAAATCTGGTATTTCTCACTGCTAATTACCAAGGTCTCCATGTCTAAGGAGGACTTTGCTACAATACTTGTCTGACTATTTACCCTAAGAAATGTTCAGGTTAAGCGATACTGCTTGGCTGGGGAAGACAATTCAAATTGGATCAAATATGAATTCAGTGTCAGCTTCCAGAAGCCAACATTCTCCCCCAGCACCTGACTCCTGGTCTGGAGTGTTCAGTGTAGTTATCTAATTCAATATTCTGCATTTTGTCCTTATTTCTACATATTTGCACTATCACATGGTACACTCTATCCTTTTCTTCAGGAGTTTTTCTCTTTCTGGAACCTTCCAGAAGTTTCTAGAAGACACATGCAGCCATTGCGTAACCTGTCTTTGATCACCAGCTGCTGTGATAATGCTGTCATTTGTCCTAAAGATCCTTGAGGGATACCAGCTGCCCAGTGCGCCAGGCTCAAGGTCCTGAAATGCAAATTGCATACCCTGTACCGTGTTCCAATTCAGTTCTCTGCGAGGCTCAGGAACAGACTCTTCACTCAAGTCAAAGCAAAACCATGAGCTTCTAACATCATTACTCTTGAGTCTTGTGAGTCATATTTCTCCTAAATGGTTTTTGATCCAAGTTTCTCTAGAAAACTTTTTGTTTTCCAATTGATTCTGGTACTTTTTCCACATTCTTGGTGTATGTTCAACTTTCTTCAACTCAACATCCTGGTCTCTAACACAATTCTGAACTTATTTTTGCTTAAAGCTCTAATAGGTGACTGCCCTAGATTTTACCTAAAGAAAAAAAATCTAGCCATGTATCTTTGGCAACTGTTGTATTGCACTCCTGTCCATATGCACTGAAGACACACGTTCCCATGTTTCTGAAAAATCAAAGGAGATTGGAGATTGTTCTCTTAGACCAAATGTCTTTATTGGACAGGCAAGGAAACTGACACCCAGGAGGTAGGAGGAGCTGCACAAAGTCACACTGAAGCTAGGACTAGAGTTCAGGTCACCTCATAGGTAGTTTAGGATATCTCAGTGGGTCTGAGCTTGGATACTCCTACGAGGAGAAAAAATTCCAAGACTGATGAAGTTCGCTTTGTGCAATTCCTAAGTGAGACCTATAATTGAACACCTGTTGAAAGCTCTTTTGATTATTTAATTACATTTAACTAGAATGCATTGAATTCTTATTATGAACGTTATCTCACTGATTCCCACAACCAGCATGTGAGGTTGGTGTCATTGTCCTCATGTCAGGAGAAGCCTGAGGAAGCACAGCCTGATTTAATGATCTGTCAGCTCATACAGCAAGGAAGTAGCAAAGCCAGAATTCAGACCCAAGACTCCTGTCACCACACCCAGACACCTCAAAAGCTTTAGGAACCAAAGATGGTCACTATATGCTTTTCTATTGAGAGCAGCTGGTTAATAGATCTTTGTTTAAATGAATGAGATAGATCTTATATTAACAACTAGGTCCCGGGGACACTGTTCCTGAATGGAACTTGTCTATGAAGGCCAGGAATTCAAAGGCAAGGTCCAGATCTGCCCCTAACCATTGAAAAGGATCCTAAAAACTGCCAGGTACCCATTTGTAGGAGACTGCCAACATTTCTAAATGCAGTGACACTCCAAATGTCAAAGTTGTCCATATTGGCACATGCAAATACCGCTAGGCAACAGCAGAAGCATGTCAAGCTGCCCAAACCCATCCAGAGGGTAAAAA